GGGGGAGACGGCGACGAGGGGGGGCGGGGGGAGGAGGGGCGGGAGGAGAGCGACGAAAACGCGAGGCCAAAAGACGGGGAGAGCGAAGACCAGGGGGCCCGCCGAGGAAGGACGAGGGCCCGGCAAATGGGAAAGAGCCGCGGGCCTGGAACGCGAGGCCCGGGAAGAAAAGGACAAAACAAAACAAGGGGAAGAGGGAGAGGGCGGGAACGGGAGGCCAGGCTCGACCGAGGCTCAGAACCAAACACGCCAGGCAGCGGCAGCAGGGGGAAGAACGAAAAGGGGGCACGAGGACCCGGATAAGGGGAGGGGGAGGAAAAGGCATGGGGGAACGAGAGGACCTAAGCGGGGGGGCGGGTGGAAAAAACAAGAGGCAAGGACCACGGATGGGGGAAATGGGAAAAGGCGGAGCGACGAGAAGGGGGAAGAGAAAGAGGCAGGGACCAGGGAGGGCGGCCAAGGGGATAAAGATGAATCGGGTACCAGGGGGGAAATGCGACGAACGCGAGGACCGGGAGGAGCGGGCAGCGGAGACGGGAACCGGGGAAGTCACAAGAGAGGCAACATCCGGCGGGAGGATAAGAGAGGGGGGGAGGCAAGAAGAAGGGCGGAGAGGACAGGAGCGAAGAGAGAGAGAGAGGCGAGAGAGAAGCCGAGGCGAACACGAAGAAGAGAGGCGAGGCGAAGAGGCGAGAAGAGAGGCCGAAGAGGCCTAAGACGCCCCCGCAAGCACAAGGGGGGGCAGCCAAAACAGGGAGCGGGCAACGGAGGAAAGGAAAACGGACAGACGAAAGAGACGGAGGAAAAAGAGCCGCGAGCGGAGCGGGGGGAGAAAGAAAAGGGACGGGGAAGGCCGGCGGCGCGACGGGAGCACGAACAAAGGGGGAGGCGAGCGCAAGGGGCGGGGGGCGAGCAGGAAACACCGGAGGAGCACACAGAGAAGGAGCGCCCAGAGGGGCACACCAGAGGGGGGGCACAGAAGGGGGCGCAAACCCGAGGGCCGGCAGCAGAGAGACGAGCCAAGGAACCGCGGCAGAGACAGCAGCCAGGCCGGGGGAGGCAGCCGCAGGGGAGGAACGAGCCACAGGACGCGGGGGGCGACAAACCCAGGAGACAAGAGGGGGCCCCAAAAACACAGCAAAACCACGAGGAGAGGGGCGAGCAGCAGGAGGGCCAGCCCAAGCCGAAGCAGAAGAGGCAGGAAGAGCGAGAGAAGGAGAAGACGGAAGCGGAAGACCAAGAGGGAGGGGCCCAGGGACAGACCGGAACACCCGCGGGAGAGCCGCCCAAGCCGCCAGGAGAGGGAGAGGGCAGGGGCGGACACAAACGAGGGACGGCAGAGGAAAGAGCAGGCCGAGGGACCGGAAGAGAGGGCAGAGCACCGGCAAAGCGGCGAGACGGAGGGGGAGCAGCGGAGGGGACCACGGCAGCAGGCGCGGCCGGCGGGGGGGAAACCGGAGGAGCCACGGGCGGGCAAGCAACCAGACCGGCGCGGGGAGAAGAGCCGGCAGGGACCGGGGGGGAGACAGAAGCAGGCCAGCAGACAACGGAAGGGCGCAAGACCCAGAAAAAACGAGGGCACACCCAGAGCACGAACGGGAAACGCAAGAGCCAACGGGGCAAGAAGAGCAGGCACAGGAGCCGGAGCAGAGCCCAGAACCAAAAGAGCAGCCACAGAAACCAGAAAAGAGAGACGAGGAGGGCCAGGGGAAGAGAGAAAGAGAGAGACAGCCGGCGGGGAAGGGGAGAAACCAGCAGAAACCAGAAAAGCAGGCAAACGAGGGAACCAAGCACGGGGAGCGGGCGGAAGCCCAGAGAAAGAACGGGGAAGGAGACAAACGGGCCCGGGCAGCGGGGGGCGGCAGAGCCAGGGGGCGGGCGCAGAGAAACCGGCGCAGCGAGAGGGCCAGGGAGGAAAAGCAGGGGGAGGGCCAACGGGCGAAGAGGCCAGCCACGAGAAAGAGCGAAGGAGAAAAGAAGACGGACCGGAGGCGGGGGAACAACGGGACGAAAGGGCGCAAAGAAAGCCGCACCAGCAACCGGAGGGAAGCCCGGGGCAACCAACGAGCCGGGGAACGCGCAAGCGAACCAGCAGCGGGCGCGGGGGGCGAAACACCCACGGACAGCCAACCACAGGCAGACCGGAGGGAAAAGGAACAAGCCGCCAGGGAGGGGGGGCACCAAGGCAGGAAA